TCAGGTTTAGAGCTGTTGTTTAAGTTTCTGCAAATGCTCACTATAAGGAATTCTCCACTATACATTTTACCCACACCTCATATAACTCCCTTCAATCTTACTTCTTTCCTTCTCTTACACGTAGCCCTTCCTCTTTTATTTGTAATTGTCATCTTCCATAGTTTCAACAGGCTCTAGAAACTTTGAGCTCTAATAGTATACCAACATTCCTTTCCCAGCTTCTTTACCCACCTCTTTCTTAATGTGGATCTAATACGTAATCCTTATCAACCAACTTCCTCCCAATCCTAATCTTATTAACTAAAATTTTAGTATAGTCCATACTGTCTGTAATGTCTTGAAGGAGAATGATCTCATAGGCTCAAGTAGTTCAATAATTAGTTCCCAGGTGATGAAACTGTTTGGAAAGTACTAAGTATCGTGGCCTTGTTGGAGGAGATGTATCCCCAAGACTTTGAGGTCTCAAAAGACCCATGCCATTCCAGTGTGTGTGTGTGTGTGTGTGTGTGTGTGTGTGTGTGTGTGTGTGATGCTTGTGGATCATGATGTGCACCTTTCAGTTGTTCCTTTGCTCCAACATCATGGACTCTAACCCTCTGAAGCTACAATACCAAGTCAAACACTTTGTTTTATACATTGCCTTGGTCATAGTATCTTATAGCACTAGGAAAGTAAGTAAGACATTACCCTTATATGTTTGACTTCCAACAGTTACCTAAGTCAGAAGACCACTGTTTTTAGGTAGCTGGTATAACAGTTTCATAGTGGTAATTTCAGAAATCTGTGGTTCCTCTCCTAGTTAATATTCCATTCAGGGTAGTACAAAAACTCACACCAGGCACTCTAAGCTCCTGGACTGAAAAATAATTTTATAAACTGCACAATCAACTATGCTACATCTGAATCCTACTTGAATGTTGCAAATACCACAACTGAAAGAATATAGCTGACAAAAGATAATCCCAAACTGAAATAACAACAGATGTATAAATCCAATGCAATGACTTAAGAACCATGAAAAGCCAAGACAATGTAACCCCTAAAAACTTACTAACCTTAAGGAATGTCATCTAATGCAAGGAAGTTAGATGAAATCCCAGAGAACTGGAAAGCATGAGTATATATATGCTCAAAGATATAAACAACTGAATGAAATAAGGAAGGTGATGGGTGACATGGAAGAGGATTCTAACAACAGGATAGAAATACTGATAGAAAACCACTGACATAAAGAACACTGTGATTCAAATAAAAATCTCAATGAAAAGTTTTAGCAACAGAATTTAACAGAGAGAACACGGAGTATCTGACTTGGAAGACAAGTTGGAGAAATAGGAACATTCAACAAGAACAAAGATAAGATATAAGAAGATACTAGGGGAATGATAATATATATGTGACACTCTTAAAAGACAAAATTTACAAATTAAAGAAATAAAAGTAGGAGAATTTCATTCTAAGGGCATAGAAAAGATTTTCAAAGGAATGATATCAAAATTTTCCAGCCCTAAGGGGAAAAAATGGCATTTAGAAATGGGATATTTAGATAAGACCAAACAGACAAGACCAGAAAGGAATAACCTTCATCATATTGTAATTCAAAGATAAATACACAGAATAAAGAACTTTGAAAGCAGCAAGAGGGAATCACCAAACACATATAAGGCAGGCCCATCAAAATCATGCCAAATTATTCAACTAAAATGTTTAAAGCCAGAAGAGTTTGCAATGAAGTGCTGAAAGATAAACAACTACTATACCCAGCAAAGTTATCTGTCATAACTGAAGATTAAAACTTTCTGTGATAGAACTAGACTAAAGGAATTTATATTAAGATACAAATTTAATGCACAAAATTAGTGGCTTTTATATACTATACACTAATGCCAAATACACCAAGAAATCAATCAGGGAGGCAATTTCATTCACAATAGCCTAAAAAGCTTAAAGTATCTTGGAATAAATTTAACCAAGGAGCCGGAAGGCTTGTACAGTGCAAAGGTTAAGGAACTGAAGAAAGATATTAAAGAGGATAATAGAAGATTGAAAGACCTCTCATGCTGATGAACTGGTAGGATTAACATTGTAAAAATAACCAGCCTACCAAAACCAATTTATTAATTCAATACAATCACCTTCAAACTTCCAATGCAATTCTTTGCATAGTTTGAAAAAATTAAATTCTATAGTGAAACCCACATACAACAACAACAAGCAAACAAACTAAACAACTAGCCAAAACAATAAAAAGTCTTGCTGTAGAAATCACTATCCTTGATTTCAAGTTATCGGACAGACCCTCTAATAATAACAGCATTGTACTGTCCCCCAAAGTAGATACATACATTAATGAAAGAATAGAGAACCCTATTACATATCCACTTGCTTTGTAATAAGGATACCCCCCCAAAAATTAGAGAAGAGACTTCTTCAATAAATGGTGTTGGGTAAATAATATGCATGCAGAAGAATGGAACTAGATCCTTATCACTCTTCCTGCACAAAACTCATGTCAAATGGATAAAGGACCTCAACATAAGGTATGAAACTGAAGCCGCTGCACAAAAATCTATGGGATGCACTTCAGGGCATAGGCATAGGTAAATACTTTCTAAAAGAAATCCAACTGGCCAAGAAGTAAGGCCAATAATTAACAAACAAGGCCCTGTGAAGTTAAAAGGCCTCCATACAACACAAGAAACTATCACTTAAATAAAGAGGTAGCCTGTAGAATGGGAGAAACCCTTTTCTGCTATACATCCAACTGAGGATTAGCACCTAGACTATGCAATGCACTTAAGAAACCAAACGCCAAGTATCCCGCGCTACCGTCCCGCCAGTAAGAACAACACGGCACACTCAGGATCCTTCTGCAGTAAAGCTTTAATGCATCTTGAGAGGGAGAGCATAAGCTTACAGAGCAGAGACCCCAAACATCTAAAACCCAACCCTTATATAGGTTTACAACCTTCGCCTCGGACGTGTCACCTCCTGATTGGCTGCAGCCCATCGGCCCATATGACGCCACGGGAGAGGCAGAGGCCAAGGGAGGGAAAATCACCCTGCACCTGCGCACTGACTTGTTTACTCTCAACGCCAGCCCGATACAGGCGCCATCTTGTAATGGAGAATGCAGGGACGGCTCCCTACAGACAAGAAAAGAGCCCAATCAAAAACAGACTTTGCCACTGACAGAGAATTCTGAAAAGAAGAATTACAAATATCTAGTAAGTATTTTTGAAAGTATTCAACATCACTAGCCATCAGGAAAATTCTAATTAAAACTACTTAGAGAGTTCACCTCATCTTAATCAGAATAGCTATTATCAAGAAGAATATGGATGATAATGCTGGCAAGGATGTTGGAAAATGGGAACTTTTAAAGAAAAAAAATGTCAATTATTTATTTGTATCTTTTTTTTTTTACTTTTTATTTATTTTACATACCAAATGCAGTTTCTCCTCCCTTCTCTCCTCCTGCTCCCTCCCTCATTTCTCCCCTACCATCCCTCCATTCCACTCCTCCTCTGTCTCCACTCAGATGGAGTAATACTTCCCATGGCAATCAACAAAATATAGCACATTAAGCTGAGGTTGGACCAAGCCCCTCCCCCATGCATTTAGTCTGAACAAGGCATCTCACCATAGGGAATAGATTTGAAAGAGCCAGCTCATGCATCAGGAGCAGGTCCTGGTCCCACTGCTAGGGGCCTCACAAAAGACACAACTGTCACCCAGATGTAGAGGGCCTAGGTTGGTCCCATACTGAGTCCTTAGCTATCTGTGCAGAGTTCATGAGCTCCCACAAGCTCAGATCAGCTGTCTCTGTTGGTTTCCCCGCCTCATCCTTGACCCCTCCTTGCTTGTACAATCTTTCTACCCTCTCTTCAACTGGACTACTGGAGTTTGGCCAGTGCTTGGTTATGGATCTCTGTATCTGTTTCCATCAGGTACTGGATGAAGGCCCTATGATGATAGTTAGGAAAGTCGCCAATCTGATGACAGGATATGACCAGTTCAGGCACCCTCTACAATATTGTTTGGAGTCTTAGCTGGTGTCATCTTGTGGGTTCCTGGGAGCATCCCTGTGATGCTGTAATACTTTGCCTGTCTAAACCACCTGATTGGTCTAATAAAGAGCTGAATGGCCAATAGCAAGGCACAATAAAGGATGGGTGGGGCTGGCAAGCAAAGAAATAAATAGGAGGAGAAATCTGGCAGGAAAAGTTCTAGGATGGAGAGAAGGAAGAGGAGAGGAAGATTCCAGGGGCCGTCCACCCATCTACACAGCAAGCAACAGAGAAAGAATTAAAGAAAGGTATACAGAATAGAGAATGATAAAAGCCAAGAGGCAAAAGGTAGATGGGATAATTTAAGGAAATATGGTAAGAAACAAGCCAAGATAAGGCCAGGCATTCATAAGCAAGAATAAGACTTATGTATTTATTTGAGAACTGGGTGGCTGCTACCTCCTCCTCCCCCCACAAAGAGTAAACCAACACCAGAAGAGTTAGTAGAACACATTATATGAAAGTGGGGGAGAGATTTACTGAGAATTAAAGTGAGATTAGGGCAGGGAGATGGGGAGAGGAGGCTCTGAATTAACCAAAACTAAGAATGCATGAAAAAACCCAATGGAGACCCACTACTTGGTAAGCTATTTAAAAGGAATTTTAGTTAATAATGGAGTTTGAACAGAAATACCCTGTGATGGTGGGTGTTTCCAGAAGACAGGGGCTAATTTTAAAAATCTCAGCCATGGAATACATCCCTAAAATTGGTCAGGGAAACCTCAAGGACCCTAAACAATGAAAACTATCACTATTGCTCTTGGTTGCCCACCATAATTAGATGGTAAGACTACATATGGCAAGACATGAAGAAATTAAGCTGGAACTGACTAGGGAACTTCCTCCTTGCTGGTTAGCTTTCAGGTCACTGTGGGAGAAAAACTTGGGTGGTCCTATTAAACACTGACCTATGCATGCTACTGTACTAACCTGCCAGTTACTCCTGTCCACTGGTGTAATAGCATCGCGACTATTCTGAGGGTAGCCAACTGCTTTCTTTTGGATATGAGGGCTGTTCCATGGAAAGAATTTGTGTCTGGTTCTATAAACCTGATCAAAATCCCATGGCTGTAGAGATCATAGGCCCTAGGGGTGAACCCACTCTTGTTTGCTACAGGGTTATGTTGTCAAACTGTCTTCTAAATATTTATATTCATACCCACAGATTTGTGCTATTCTCAACTCTGGTCAGAGAGGCCTTTTTTGCTTTTGCAATGACAATGATTGGTAAAGTGACTCAAAACTGCTTAAGATATTGAGAATGGATGAGTGCTCAGCCCTCAGGGCTTAAAGAACATCTCAGAAGAGGGGCTGGAAAAAATGTTAGAGCCAGAGGATGCAGAGAATTGCTGAGAAATGCTGTCCTCTGGACCTGGCATGGTCATGGTACCCCTGAACTCCCGGCAGCTTTTGGTACATGCTTAAGACCTGCACACTATTAAACAACTTAAAAAGTTCAGAATGGAGACAGGAGGGAATACCAAGACCCTACAATTAGCTAAGGAGCCATTGGCAGTTGATGGCTGCTTGAGGGGGAAGAATCCATTTCCTTTGTGGTTGTGGTCCCTGGTAGTGTGAGCACACTGTAGTGGATGGCTCTATGTCTGTGTGTAGATGAGCGGCCCTAATTGGACTCACTGACTAATTGTTTTAAGTGGACATAAATATATTGGGGGCACGTTGAGGGAGGATCCAGAAGGAATGGAAGTGGAGAGCTGGAGGTCCGTATGATAAAATTAATTGTGAGCATGTAAGAATTTCTCTAACAATAAGGATTATTTTTTAAAATGGGTTTCATGAACAACAGTTACAATTACTTCCATTGCAAATCATGTCTTTAACTCAACAGGTTTCTGAATCTTACTAATTTGCTTTACTCTTTGCCCTTGTTAATAGTCATATAGTCATAGATGGAGACATTTGAAAATAAATCTAATCACAAAAATAGATGTTTTTCAGAGTACAGTAGACATTAACCTCAGAAAGAGCATATCTTCAGAAGACCCCAGTTCTAGTGCTTTCTCTGCTGCAAACCAGTGGTGCATGTCTAGACAAACCATCTAGCCACCGTTGCTTCCTCATATGTAACTAGAGAAAATAATATCTCCAATTCGTTTTCAAGGTTAAAATAGTGATGTTCGTATACAAATTAATTTCGTGCATATCTAAACTATATGCCACATGCTGAAAATTGAAATGGCTGGAATTTCAAAGGTGTAGGTGTGGCCGTTCTTTTAAAACGTATTAAGAAGACCAGTCACCAGAGAGAACACCTGGAAGCAATATGATGTGGGTGGAGAATTCATAATTAGCAATGAATTCAATGGGTTTTCGTTGTGAACATACTCCTGGCAATATTCTGAGGATCCTCAGCTGTAAACCTCTAGGCACTGAGTCCTGCCAAACACAGAGGGTTCTCTTGGGGTGGGATGATGTAATCCAGGATGTGTCTTTTTGACCTCCCTCATAACCCTCCACCCCCACCCTGCAGTCTCCACCCCCAGTGTCCCCTACCAGCAGAGGCAGACATACCTCACGCTCTAGCCATGCAGGAAAGTGGAGGAACTGCCTGAGGGCACAAGGGGGCTGAGAGAAGCAAACACTCCTTCCTGCCAATTTCCCCTCCCTACACATTTTGCCAAAACCCAGGTTGCATCTCCACCTGGTTCCTTCTGCCTGATAACTTCCTCTCTACAGGCTTTGCCTTCGCAGAAGGAACTATATATAACACACAGTCTGTCCAGATTCTGGTGAAGAAAACATGGATGGCATCATTCTAGGAAATGTGACAGTGTGTGGAAGCGATCCCTTTGGAGGATACTGATGACCTAACCTGCTATTTGTCATCTTGGTTTCCGGCTGTGAAAATCATAAAAAGCGCTCCAAGCCTTGAACATTCTAGTCAAACCTTCTCTTCCCAGAACCATGTATCACCAGGAGAGATGGCATGGCTGGTGAATGGGTACTGAAATCACTTCTGGCTTCTTGTTCATTTCTTGGAGTCGGGAATTTAACCAGTGAGTGAGTCTGAGAGTTGGATGGGACTGGGATGTTGATAGCATACTGAGAATTGCTCGGTATTCCTTTTGGAGGTGATGGGATGCTCTGACATGGACTGTGGTGATGGTTGCACAAATCTGTGAGTGTGTTAGAGTCCTGAAATGAGACAGTTGAAATGGGAAGCTTGTATGGATCACATCTCAATCAAGCTGTTTTAAAGGAGTAAACACTCACCGCATGATTAGAGTGTGCAGCTGAGCTTGCAGTGCCACTCATCCAGTTGATAGAGCATGCACTTGAAGTGACCCAGACTGAATCAAAGGACCAGGTCATTAGCTGACCCAGCTGAGACTTCATTTTTCCATTGAGGAGAATAGCTGGTTTCTCCTAGGCCTGGAGAGGGCTTTTTGTACAGAAAGCAAATGAAAATATGTGTACAGGTTTATCATCATGGCCTTCAGAGCCCAAAGCTCGTTCAGCAGGCAGCAGCTGCACTCCGCTGGGGAGCATTGGAGGGGGTTAGGAGAAACATCAGCTTAATGAATGTTCGTTCGGTCTCTGTCTCCTCATAAAGTCAGTTTTCTTCCTATGAGTAAGGAACAAGTATCCTTGTTCTCTAAGGGAATATGATACCCCCGCCCCTATCCTGTCGAACCTGATACAAACCAAACATTAGCCTTCAGTGAGATTGACTGGCATACTCTTAACCTTTCATAATGTGTTTGCCATCCAAAGCCATCAGAATCCAGTCTACAACATCGCTTACACCAATTTCCACAGGCACCACCTAGGCCAGGCCTCCAGCATGTCTTGCACAATGATTGCAACATCTTCCTGGCCTGCCTCTCTTCTTCCCCTCCCAATCTTTTTTACACTGCAGTCACAGCCCTCACGGGAAAGTGCCAATGTCCTCCCAGCTGTCCGTCTTGTACAAATGCCTTCCAGTGCTTCCCAATACCTTGTCATGTCTACCCTGGGTCTTCCCCCCTCCCTCCAGTCTTGTCTCTTAGTGCCCCCTGTCCCCTACCTACTCTTGTAATATCATTTCTCTCTTTCCGTCTCTATGCACTCCACCCACTCTGTCATGACATGGTGCCAGGGCTCATGCACAAACTGCTAACAGGCAGGCCTCCCTGGCTTTGGCCATTCCCTCTATCGGTGAACTTGGCAGTTCTCCGCACTTCAGTCAACTTCTTCCATATTGGTTTACTTCCTTAGAGGATTTCTATAAGCTCTTCCTTTCCCTCTTTTAGGGACAAAGTCTGTCTGCTCACTTTCTGGCTCTTTCACTGCCTCACACAGGCCGCTTCCTGTTTGCGATCATACCTGGAAGTTCAGCAATGCCTATTTTGCCTCCTGGGTTTTCTAAAGTTAGAGATCAAACTTCTTAGCAGGGTTACATGACCTTCCACACTCCTACCATGCAGGCAGTCCCCTTACTGCAGATATCTAAAATACTACAGTTTCTGTGTTTATTCCTCTGTCCCAACGCCGGACTTCTGTTAACCTCTTTTCTTTCTGGAATTTACTACCTCTGGCCTAGCATAGCTACGTCCCACACCCTTCAAGGCCTAATTTAAGTGGTATTGCTTTCAACAGATCTCCAGAAGCTGAGGAGCACTGTGTTCTGGCTTTTATCAAGCTCATTATACATTGTCCCTTGTCTTGTGCTTTCTTGTTTCATTTGTCAAGGCCAGGATGTATCTGTCTGCCTCGGCTGTGAGATACTTGAGGTTTAACCACAAATTCCTGACTGAAACTTCAACGAGAAAGCAGAGAAAGAACGTATTAGCAGGGAAAGAGGGTGGTTATGACAGAAGGGAGAAGCCCAAGCGTCAATACATGCTCTCCCAGGATAACTGAGATGAATTACCATCCATCCACCCTATAGATGGTCCAATGTGTCAATGTAGTTTGGTAGAGTTGAGTTCAAAGCCCAGGACTGAACAGTGAAATCAAACTCCTTGACAAAGGACTACATCTAATTATGAGTCTGTCAGAATGGTGTTCTGGGCATGTGCTTCTGTGTGGGCATGTGCATGGTGTGTCTGTAAACATGCACATGCATGCTTGTTTCTATAGATCTGTGTGATGACATGTATGTGAATGGAGAAGTGGGTGGCTGTACCTCTGCATGAACAGGCGCGTGTGTGCCTGGTTCTGCTTAGGAATGCTTTCAAGGTGGCTGTGTATGCATACGTAGTTGCGGGAGGGAGGGTCTTTACTAGAGAGGAAGCTGGGTCAATGCTGGCATCCACACATGCCCAGGCATGGCTGGAAAACAGGTTAGGCAGGCCTGGCAGAAGTGTGGTTGTATTGAAATTTTCAGGAGCTTCTGGGAGAGCATTTATCCTAGGGAAGAAAGAGGCACAGTGCATACTTGGCCCAGGAAAAAAGCTTTTGTTACTATATGAAGAGAGAGGCCTTGATGAACAGGGGCTACTTTTCACTTGAATTTTTCTCTTGGTACAGTCTCATGGGTTCAGTGTTTTGGCCTTATGGGCCCCAAAGAAATTGAAGTTAAAGTTGTTTTGCATAAACATGTTATCGTTATGGCACATGCATGCCTGTCTTGAACCTCCACTACTTCATTCATCATTTTCAGTCAACAAACACTCAGCCCTGCTTTGTTGCCGATTTTAAGTGAGGGGCTAGGGAGACTGCAGTGACTAATGTGATGGAGTTCTCATTGAGGTATGAACTTACAAGGGTCGGACATTTCTGGACTCCATACCAAGCTGACAGTGTTGCTATGCTCTAGGTATCTCCAAAGCTGAGTCAGAGCAATAGAATCAAGTAGTTATCACCTCCTGTGGGATGGATTCAATGTTGCATCTATGCTGCAAGGTAGGGAAACACTGGCTGGATTTTAGTTTCTTTATCTTTTCAGCTAAGCATGCCTTGTGTCTTGTATAGCCTTCATAATTGTCTGTGTTGACCTTGGCTCCAAGGAGCCAAACTCTATTGTCTCTAAGCACAGGCTGGTTAGTGATAACCAAGCCTCTTTGGTGGTATCTACAAAAAGCTATTATCAGGAACATAGACGTAAGCTGTGGCCTCCAGTGTGAATTGTAGTAGCCAGGAGAAGCAGCTGAGGCTCAGTAGACATAGCACAGTATTCTCCAAATGCTTCATTATACAATATAAGTGTCAACTATGCCCAGAAAATATAGCTGTGCTTAGATCACACAACAGCCCTCAGAGGATAGAAGCTGGACCCAAAGAATAGGAAAAAGAGAAAGCACAAAAGCAATGTGGAAACAAAATGTCAGTATTTATTCATGAGCACATATGAGATTCCCCCTAAAACCATTCAGAGAAATGTTGATGATGGGAGCCTCCTCTCAGTGAGCTGAGAGAGGAGGCAAGGGCCAACATAGCATGGCTTCTCTTCACATGTCATAGCAAAGGGGAAGTCCAGCATGTAGAGGCAGAACTTTTATATGCTTGGACAGCGGGAACAGTTGTATTTCTTTTTTTCTCCCAAGTAAAAGAATACCCATTGCTTTTGCTAGGCAGAAAGGGCTTTCTGGGATGTTAGTTGGACTATAGAATTTAGGCCCCCGGGATCCGAAGTGCTACTGAACTACAACAGAAAGGTATCTGTTGCAACTGAAGGGCCTTGGGTGTACATGCTTTCACCCTTTAATAATAACACCCACTGTAGTGGTCTGAAAGATAATTGCCTCCCCAACTCCCATCTCCAGCATTTGATCACTTGTTCTCCAGTTGGTGGCATTTTACAAGGACACAATGCAGTTGCTGGATTAAGTAAGGCAGACTTGGAGGATAAAGGCCTCATGCCATTTCCAATTTGGCCTCTCTGCTTCCTTGTTGCATTTGAAGATGTGAGTTCTCGGGTTCCTGCTATTTGCTAGCATGGCCGCTGCTTGCCACCATATGCTCTCATCCAATATCAGAATGTAGTATACAAACTAGTGGTTTCACTATGACATTGTTAGAGATGTTATTACACTTTGTTCTTCTCACCTTATCCCTCCTTGCTGGCCCCCTTCCTACCCTTCCTTCTGTTTTCATGACACAAGTGCATCACTCTCAATGCATATGACCCCTGTGAGTCCTCCACTTTGAATGAAAGAAAGCTGCTTAGGCCTGGGGTTGTAATGGTATGGAAAGGCACTTTTCCTAATAAGAGGAAGAAGACCCCAGGTTCCATCCCCAGCACTGAAGAAAAAAAAACTTGAACACAAAAAAATGTATTTATGCAGTATATATCACCAGGTCTCCCATTTGGAAGCAGTATCTGACAGAATGAATATACTTGTGTAAGACAGTAAGCTTGCATACTATTCAATGACTGTCCTCAATAGGGTAAGGGAGGGATCTCTGCTTGGATTCCATTACACCTCTTGGTATTCTTTTATAGTGACAGATAAAGAAACGTATCAGAAATGGAATTATTTGCCAAAGGGAATGGATATGTTTGTTTCTAATGCTCCCAAGAAAACTTGCATAGAAAACTGAAGTCTTTAATTCTGTTTCTATTAGTAAAAGGTACTTTTGCCTTGACATACACACCCAAAGGAAAAGATAGCAGAGTGTTTCATTTGCTCAGAACAGATTAAAGCACAGAGATTTACTTGGGTTGAAGAAAGGAAAGGAGGATAGACATTCTCTCAGTTCAATTGCATGGGCTGCAGGGATGAGGATGCCTTTAATAGTGTCACTTGACTTGGGCTACAACTGCACTTCAAGGCAACAGAGATAAACATATCTATTTTGCCCTAGTCCAGTCTCCATCTCTAGGCACAGAGCCGGAAGCAAAGAGACTAGAAATTTAGCTCCACTGACTTTCTTTTGTCTATTGATTGTACTTTTGCATAGTTGCTGTAGTTGTTTGAGAGAGTGACTGTGTTGTCCTGGGTTCAAGCTCTTGCTATCTCAGCCCCCCAATTGTCTGGAACTACTAGTGTTACCGCCCCATGCAGCCAGATTTGCACTGATGTGAACTGGGAGGTTGACAGCTATCTCACTGGGCTGAAAACAGTCTCTGGCTCTGCTTTAAGAGTGTCATTCCAAGAAAGGATGGAAGACAGGAGCTTGTGCCTGGAGAGGATCATAAACCTCAGCACCTGTCAAGGGTTCACCAGGCCCCAGGTTAAAATTACAACACATACCCTTGCTCCTACCTAGCCAGGAGCTTCCTCGTTCTGTACAAAAGTCCTGTACAAAAATACAACCATTTTCTGCTACTTGATTTCAGTTCTTTGCTTAGTCCAAGAAGTTACTAGTACATGATGAGGCAGTTAGGCAAACAAAGTCAGTGTCTAAGTAAGATGTAATAAGGGAAAGGACTTGCAGGACAAAGCACATTTTCTAGAGTCTACAAAGCCATTTGCTAATGGGGGAAAGGGTCATCAAGAGTAAAGGGTGGAAAACAAAACAAAACAAAAAAAGGACAAATCAGCAGGGGACAAATCCTTCCAGGAAGCCTGAGTCAAATTTGATCCTGATAAGCCAGTAGTCTCCAGGGAGCTTTTGACCTGGGAAAATCAGGCTGGGGTTGTATTTACATTTTTGTAAAAGATTAGTCTGGTTGCCTCACAGTAAGGGTTTCAACATATCCAGAGTGAAAGCAGGGGTTCTGGCAGGTGAGGGAGTGTGAGAGGTGGCTCACTTGTTGAATTCTAGGATGGGTCTAGCCAAGACAGAAGGATGAAGGGTTCTTGGCAAAACTAGACTCCATGGCAAGACACTGGACCCAACCTTTTCCAATAAAAAGCGGAGACCAAACAGAGGAACCTACAAAGAAACAAAAACAATTTAGGGCCAATGTCCAGACTAAAAGACACAGTTTTCCACTTCTACCTTGGGATGGCAAGAATTAGCAGCATTACTAGACTTAAAGTCACCATGGAAGCATACCTAGAAGTCTGTGTCTACAGGAGCATTTCCAAAGATATTTACCTGAGCAAGGAGAGCCACCATGAACTCAGGCGGCACTGTCCAATGGGCTAAGGTCCAGAGCTGAGTGAAGAGCAGAACAGAGCCTTTGCACTGCTCTGTCCCAGCTTTCTCATTGTTAATACAGCCTACGTTCTAGGAGAAGGCATGGAAGATGAACTGGGAGAGATGGGCCATGCTGAAATGCGAAAGTCCTTGCTTAGTATGATGGGTTCCAGAGTTACAAAAGATATTTAAGCTGGAAAAAAGGTGATAGACGCATAAGGCCATTTTAATGTATTGCTATCATTTTCTCTAACGGTGTCCAGTCAAGGTACTTGCTCTGTATCACTTACAGGATCATAGTAGCCTATTTTCCAGAATTTACTGTCCCAGGAAAGAGCATGGCATTCCGATCTGTTGAAGCTTGTAGGCTCCTGTTCCATCCTTCTGTCCCACTTTTCAAGCCAGAGTGCTTTAGTGGTTATCTGTTAGTTGTACATCCCCCAAGTCTACCATGGACTCCCAGGACATCTTTGCTCACAGCCCTCTTTCAAAGCCCACTGGAAATGCCCGTTTTGTAAATTGCTCTCAGCCTTCAAGAAACCACTCACAATGCAAGTTCCTCTGACCTTCCCTTGACACAAAAATGAGATGAAATCCTTTTCCTGGACTCCCTGGCATCTGGTTTATGCCGATATCATTAGAATACACATGACACTGCCTGGTGATGGTTGTTCAGAAGCCTGTCTCCCAGGTTAGAATGCAAGCTCTATCGGAGCATGAGGCCATATTGTATATCATTTATACTCAGCTTGCAGCACCATATTTGGCACATGTTAAAATCTCAATGGATGGTAAATGAAGACATTGCTCTTTTAGCAAACCACTTTTCTGGGCCAGGTTTCCGTTCCTGCATCAAGGTAACTGCTATCTTTACCCAGCTGGAGATTTTAAAGATCTATGGCTCAGGAACAGCTGCGCCACAGTCACCAGAGGGACTCAAGCACATATTTAGACTAGACTGGCCAACAATTAGCATATAAAGCCCGGCATGTGCTTTAAATGTCCTCCCCCTTCACTTCTGTACATATTGGGACCTAAGCAAAGTACTAAAAACACACTTAGAGGGAGTGATCTTAGGGTACACTATTTCTATACTTAAAGTGGGGATTTTTTTTCCCTCTAAAGATAGCCAGTATGTCTAAAAGAGAAACCACAGAGCACTATACTCTTCTCCCATAAAGTGTTCGAACCATCAGCCATACTTCTATTTCTCAACTGTGGAATTCACATCTGTTCACTTTTTTAAAAATCAAGTGCCCACATGATTTTAGTCAGAATCATCACACTCATGAATTCCTTTGGCTCTAGGTTTCCATTAGTATTTCTTAATATTCTTTCATGCAGAGTAAATTTGCAGTTTCAAGCTCAATTTTTTTTTAAATTTTTGAGATAATAATATAATTACACCTGTCCACTTTTAAGTTCTAAGGAAAGAGTACCATGGGCTCGGCCTTGTACCTCACCATCCTCAACTTTTAAACATTCTTAGCAGCCTGTTGGAGCTTTCAACTAGAGGTTTTAAACACCAGGACATTCCATGGTGTTCACTGCAGAGTATGGAATACCTAAAACTTCAGTAGCCAGGTCCTGGAGGACTTCCTGGGGCATCTGGGAGACTGCTTATATGACAGACTGCACAGAGCACTAATACTGGAGTACATACTGATATCCCCAGGATAATCTTAGCCTGTTTGAAGGACAAGCAGCAAACTGTTTCAAAAAACCATTGTTGTGAAAGGCGTTGGGAACTGAGTTTTAGAGTTTCATCACTCATTAAAGTGATTCATACAGAAAAGGGCAACGGGGGTGGGGTGAGTAGTTCAGTTAAACGAGGCACAAGTTAGCTGACAAGTACTGTGGGAAAATGGGGGTAGGGACAAAGGAAAGGCAGAGGAGTTGACTATAGCAGGCTAGGTGGGAGATCATTTGACAGTTTAGAGGGAAAGTGGAAATCGTTACCTCGTTAAAAAGGAAACATTTGACAGTTTGGGTATCTTTATGTGAACATTTCTCTGGACATAAGACTTGAGTGCAGTTGGGGGCAGAGGGGAAAGGAACCCCAAGGATGGGCAGCAAATGCTTTCCTGGTTATACTTTTTAAAGGAAAAATTTGAGAATTTCATACAATGTCTTTTGACCATAGTTTAATATTTATGCCCCATTCACACCCTAACACCTTCCAGAGTCACACCCATCCCCCATTCCTCCCCCCCCCCCCCACCAAACCTGCTCTCCTTTTGAAAAACAAATAAAAAGTAACCCACCAACTCCAATTTGTGCTGCCCAAATAATCATGAGTGCGGGGCCAACCTCTGAGGATTGGTTGACTTTCCAAGAGCCACACCCTTAAAGAAAACTGACTCTCTCTCCCCTAGAAGCCATGAACCGTCAATAGCTCCTTCTGGGCAGGGTGGCTTGTAACCTCCCTGCCATTCCATACTTGAATGTTGGCTGGCTTGAATTTGTGCACACAGCCACAGCTGCTGTAACTTAATGACAGCAGCACTTCTGGCTCTTAACATTTTCCACCCCCTCTTCTTGGGATGGTCCCTCAGCCTTGGGGAGAAGCTAGTTGTGTTTGAGCACTCTGCACTTTGACCAGTTGATTTCGATGTAAACCACTGTCCACCGCACAAAGAATTGTGTCTGATGAGGTCTGAGAGATACAAATTTTGGGGGAAGTTTGATACTGTGTCTATTTATTTAGCAGAATAATATATGCAATATAATGTGTAATAATATAGCAGTTGGGTCCTAAAGGGCAAACACCTCTGTGAGTGCCTATTTCATAAAACATTTATTGGATACTCGGAACAAACTAGGGATATGCACCAAGGAGAAACAGGTGACTTAATCAAACTTCCTGGAGTTCACACTCCAAGGAAGCAGCTCAAATTAAAATACAAAGGCAGAAAGCATCTCATTTCTGAATAGGGTAACCTGGAGGCTGAAAAGTATCTGAAAATCATGAAAGTAGTGCTCTCTACTAAAGAAAGATGCAACTGGGACCAGCGGCATTTCTGGTTCTCCATGAATGCTGTAAGCTTAAGTACTGGGGTGGGGGGATGCAGCTGATTTCTGAGATGGATTCTGGATACAGCTGGTAAATCAAACTTCACTTCTTTTTGGCACTAACGGGGCTGGATTCTGTCTGGCAGTCAAAGGCTGCCAAATTCCTGATTTACGACATTGCCTTTCCAATGAAAAATAGGTATAATGAAAATAGCTTATGTCTTACATAAACTCTTAGCAGTATCACACACATATTAAATAGGACCCCTAGTACTTTATTGCACATAGACTGTCACACTGAGTTAAAACTGCCATTTCTTCTTCAAGAAAAAAAATCTTGCTTCTTCAATGTTTCTATAAAAAACATAACCTCAAAACTGTAATGTCTGTGAAGAATGTGTGCCTGAATTATGAAGACTATATATGTGTACCTGGTACCCACAGGGAACAGAAGAGGGTGGGACTGGAGTTACAGCATCGCTGCCACCTGATGCGGGTGCTGACGATGACACACTTGCCTGGTGTAAGATGACCTGTCCAGTCATCTCTCTAGACCCTACAAGATGTAGGGCCAAAGGTGAATTCATGTCCAAAAGAATCAGTTTTGCTGTCCTTTGATTTTTCCTTTATGCACCTAAGACATGACTTTTCATAAAAGAAAAACTGCCCCTACTTCAACCCTAAGTAAGTCTTAAAGCTTTGTATCTCGACCCTAATGTTACATCCTGAAGCAATGTAAAGACTAGATGAACTGTCTTCCTAGGTAAGAATGGCCTCCCAGGACCACCTGGAGGAGGTAAAGGTGATCTGGGATATACTCCCCTTGTCATCCCTGATGTTACTTCTGGCTCATCTGGTTACTTTTTCTTAGCTTTCTTGTACCACTCATCCTCTTTCTTCTGCTCACTGGGTTAGAAATGTGGATCTTACTCTATTCCTTTGGCCAAAGAAAGCTGAACAAACCCTAGAAGACTGGGGTGCACGTCTAACACAGCATATACATGGGATGCTGGAGCCCAACAGAAGCGTGGTGACTGACAGTAATAAACAATAATAACAGTACTAAACAATAAACCTTTTCTCTATGTTGTGATGCAGGAATACATATATGCCAATTTCTTCCAAATTCCCAAATGTAGTCCACGTGCATCTATCTACTCAGGTCTGTCCAATTTAAAAAGTTGATCTAAGTTTAAAAAGTAAGGTTAAAACACCTACACAGTTCAAGTTAAAAATACTGGTCTCAACAGAATTAACTGGCTGGCAAAAATTTCAAACAGATAAGACAAAGTAGCAATCCAGCTGAGTTTGCCCAGTGTGTACAAGGCCCTGGGTTCAATTCCAAGCATTGCCAAAACAAAACAAAACGAATGGCACCCCAAATGCAGAACTACAACTTAATGTGTTTTAATTTTCCTAATTTGATATATCAAAACTTAACTTCATGCATAATATTGTCTGAAATTTTTATTCTTTGGATAGTTTTCAATCAACAAATTTGTATTTGGACCACTTTCTGCATATGGACTAAGTTGTATGCACTTTCTACTCATTATTTATCATTTCTGAGTTATTCAAATTGATTACGCATTATAATTTAGGACATATTTTAATATTCCCCCTACAATGTCAAAAGGGAACAAGTAAATACAGTTTTAATTTTTTTAAATACCTACTGCATATAATGACTTTCTGCTAAGAAAATGCAAGTTAGCAAATCTAGAACAGGAAGCAATGTATCAATAATTAAATAATTAAAGAGAAGACAAATCTCAGTAATACAGATATCTATTTTATTAAAAAAGTTACAAACAGGTGGACTGCAGGGTCGTCTTACAAAATGACAAGAATGAAATCTATTGGAAAAATTTAACTTTTACAAATTTTCATAGGTAATTGTTCAACGTTTGTACTTGTTATTCGAGATTTTACCATTCACTGATAAAGTTACAGTACATTAGACCCATGATAATAGGTTACATGATTTTATTTGCAGAGCCCTACTGCAGTGATTTGAACAACTCCTAAACAAATGCCATAGTAAAGACAAGACATATATTGCATTTAATATTCATTTCTTACCCTAATAAGCAACATGCAATCTATTGAGGAAGCTAAAATAACTTTTGGTCCCTTTTCTTAAAATGTGCTGGAGAAACCACCTTTAAAGTCATTTTTCCCCTGATTCCTGTGATCCTAAGTGAATCCACATGAAATTTGCTGCTGAGGTCAATGACAATGAACACTGTGATAGAGATAGAGGTGACAGAAGGTGAAGAAGGGAAGTAGGGAAGAATCTCCATAGGAAAGAAATACTGTCTAAAAATCAATCTGCAGAAAATTGAAGTCATCATGAAAGATTTGATTCCTTTAGGATTTCACGGAACTAGTAATGATGAGCCACATCACTTAAGCTACTCTGAAATGAGTGTGTGTTTTTAAAGTGCAAACTTAAAAGGATTCATTTCAAGCAGTTTGTAAATAAGGAACAACGTTTCAATCTCCTCTACCCTTATAATCTTACCATCCAATCCCAGATTGAAGAACAAGAGCTCACTTTGAGGGAATCTGATCAGGAATCAAATGCAACACGATTTAAAAAAAGGAAATCAAAGCTTAATCATTTTCTACTCATTAATCAGTGGCCATGCTGACCAATAAATCACATGAATGTAGATATCACTTTATTTGAACACCACACACAATACAAATTTAAAACTGCCACACCCTTCCACAAACCATCACTGCATATAGTAGAACTTTTCTTGACAAAGTTATTGAGCTATTAGTATAGATCAAAAGTATAGTTTTGGTTTTCTTTTATTTAGAAGCATGTTCAAATGACTAAAGCTGGGCTCCTAAAATGGAGAACTTTGGTGCAGTAGGTGAGCTGCAGTTACTAACTTCTGCAAATTAAAAGCACACAAATAAAACCAAATAAAAGCCCAAGAACGAAATACTGTCAAACTTACACAATTGAAAAATCACTGCTAGAAAAAGCACTGCTCATGATGTTAAAACCGAACAAAAAGGTTACGCATTGTAAGTTTTCTTCTGTTTCTATACCTGTGTTACTAGTAAAATGTTCAAGTATTCAGACAAAATGTGCTGATTAGGTAAACAACATGGAAGGCAATGGCTATTAGAAAGCACATTTGCAAACGTGAAAACAAAAAACAGCTGGAGACTCGGCGCTATTCTCCCTCCTGACAGATTTTTGTCTCGACTACGAACATGCTTCTTGAAAAATGACTAAAAAGCAGTTGTGATAGTGCAAGAAAACATTAACAAATATTGCTTTAAACTATTGTTCAGAAAGACAAATAGTAAGAACTAGAAAGTGTGTATGATTTTATTTGAATTCAATTTTACATGTGCAGAAGTCAACCAGATGTCAATGACAAGCCTGCCAGGCAAAGCTGAGCTATCTCTGTTTAGGTATACAATTAATTTACCATGGACACAATATCCCTTTTCAAAGGCATTGCTAAATAGGTCATAACTAAGTTTAGAACTTCACAGAAAGGAAAATGTTACTGCCTCAATTCAATGCTGCAAATGAGATTAACACACGTGAAGGCCTAATGGAATCGAATAAACTCTTCAAGTAAATGCTGTACAGTCAGTCAACTCCCAATATCACCTGTAACTTTTAGATTGGGAACTACAAAACACTTCACAAACTGCACTTGAAGAAAAGGGAAATTCATCCATACAGGTAAAATGTGATCTTTAGTTTCTTTTTACAACACTGCCACACGTAAACAAAGTCTCAAAGTATTAACCAACCATTTAAAGGAGAAAGATTTTACAAATAGGATGAAGCATTGGTACGAGGTAATATACAGAAGTAACCATTGTTTAAGGCTCAATTTTTTCTCCATTATATCTTTCTTTTAAAAGGCATTGAGTAGGTAATACTGAGTTTGAGTAATAAATACAAGGTGAGAAACTGATTAAAGAAATCAACATATTAAAAATTAATCCTTTCATATTAGCCATCAATAAGAACTTAAAAAGCTAGAAAAGGACAGATTGATAAAGAACCGATTTTAAATGTATGGTAAACGTGCTAAGCATTACTGTTAAGGTCCTTGGATCTTGAGGGCCAAAGACCTTATGCACTTCATTAGATGTATGGCAACATGCTGTAATAGAGACAGGTTTACCAAGGCTCAGTTCTGCAACCCAGGTTGTAAAGTTCTCCAAAGCAGCATCTGTGCAAATTTCCTCTGAGTTTTATCTGCAAGTGAGATGAAAGAGATTTCATGAAAACCTAAAGCTATACAGTAGACTATCCAGAAACTACCCTGACAACAGTTCCACATGTGTGTATGCATGCATGCTGAAGGTCACTAGTATGGGATCTTAGGGTGTAATTTCACTGTGTTCTCCATCAGTTTAAGTAACAAAATAATTTTCTGAACAGATCCAGAAGAATCACCAAAAAAGCAGATGTGTAGTAAGGCTGTACCAGATCAAATACACCCACTGTGTCTCTGTTACTTGTTCTTATGATACCATGACACTTCCTCCTTATACGTATGTGATACTAAAGACATTTGAACTGATTAAAATGATCTTACAATACACAAATTGGGTCAAATGGTACTTCTGATAAAATGATCTTACAATACACAAGTTGGGTCAAATGGTAATTCTGCATTGAACTCGATCTGTTTTTATTATAACTGGAAATGGTGATAGACTTCAATGCTCATTATGACTTAACCTGTTACTACACTACTTCTTCCAAAGTTTGGATTTGTGGAAAATTTAGTATGATTCTGAGTGTAGATACTTAAACCTTGACAGTGACATGCAGCAGGTCACATACCCTATTCTGATCTACTCTTTCTATGGACACCCTCCCAGTCACAAGAGTTTCTGTAATAAAGACTCCTCAGTTTCTATCCTTATAGCTGACACATTTCTACCTTCCATTTAATACTGGGGGAAAAAAATCACTCAGACAAACAGTATGTCTTTCAGTTGGGCTGAGTCACCAATCGATTTCTAGAGGAATGAAATTTTGTTTGTTGTTTAATGTAGAAGGTAAAAAAAAATGTTCATACAGTCAGAAACAAAAGAAAAGCAACTATGAAAGAGAGCCAAGTGAAGTTGGTGTAAGATGTGGTGGAAGATCTCCACAGGCTCTAGTAAAGTCTACAAATGCATACTTTTAAATTCATTTGACAACTATACTTTTATTAGTGTTCAAATAGCCTGAGAGAATGTGTTCTAATTAGCTGTATCATAAACATGATACTTTGAAAGAATTTCCCACTCATCATTATTGAAATCTGCCACCTAAACGTATTAGGAAATTCTATCTCTTTAAAAACTATCTTAAAAACTTAGTCTTCTTGAAAGTCAGACTTAAATGTGGAAAGCTAAATATTAGATTAGAATATGGATTACGTTTGAGAAAGTTCAGTTTCCTTATCATTAAAATACCGAGAAAAATTCTCACAGGTTGCTATATATGTCATACAAGGCAGTGTGTGAAGGCACTCCATAAACTGAGTACATAACATGAGGAATT